GGTGGGCAAGGTAGAGTAATTGCTGTAGATGACAGTATGGAATCGTATACCCAAATAAAAATTATTAAATGTAATAGCAGTCTTGAGGGAAATGTTTAGAAGTTCTGCCTTGATCAGCATTTTTATAAAGACTTGAGTGAAGGCGTTATTAGCACAACAGATTTATATGCTGAGAGTTTTGGGAGGCATAGCTATTACCTTGGATAACTGAGTCTGAATCTGAAGAGATTTGGAGGGGATAGAAAGATCAGTTGAGTCTATCAAGATGAAATGTTGAAACGGTGAAAGTAGAGTTTTTCACTTAGGTTCCAACAGTCAGCCTCATATTAGCATAGAGAAAGGTGGCTTAGCAGTCCATATAACAAAGGCCTGAGCGGGGGTTCAGATGACTATGAAATTGTATGTTAGTCTGCAGTAGGATTTTGTTGCCACAGGAAATTAATAATCTGTTGAGCAGCAGTTAGAGAAATAGTTATTGAGGAAGAGGGGCTTATTAGTCATGTTCTTGTTCTACTTACTGCACCATTTCAAATGCTCCTTTTGTCCTAGATCACACTTTTGTATTGATTTAACAAATTGGATTGTCTGGAGCACAGGTTGTCACACTAAAGCCCTCAGGCCACATGTTTGTGAATAAAGGTTTATTTGAACACAGCCATGCCCATTTCTTTACATATTTTCTGACTGTTTTGGTGCTTCGATGGCAGCATTGATTGTTGGTTACAGAGACCATATGGCCTGCAACGCCTAAAATATTTACTATCTGACCCTTTACAGGAAAAGCTTTCCAACCTCTATTCTAGTGAACTAGACCTAGATGAAGTAGATTGAAACCATGGCAAAAGAAGAGCAGCAAAAGGAGCATGGGATGTTTAACCAGGTGAAGAGAAGACTTAGGTGTGACAGGGAGAGCTGTCTGTCTTCAACTATTTGAAGGACTGTTGTTTGGATGAAAAATTAGACCCTTGTCTGCTTAACTTTATGAGGCAAAAGAAAACAGGATAGAAGATATGAGGAAAGGGGAGGATTTCGTTAGAGTATAGAAAAGTTTTAACACTGGATTGGGTTGCTTCTGGAAGTAATGAGTTTTATAAGTAGAGGCATTTAAAAAAAGGCCAGATGACTATTTTACCTATTCTCATAGATGAGGATCAGGCAGGCAAGAACTGGATATCTGCTGAACTTTCTTGTGGTTCTGAAATTTTGCCTACGAATGATTCTTTCAAACTCAGGCCGTGGCCCTCATGCATTTCTCCAAGGCGCTAACTTAGTCTGGCCAGCAGATTGTAGAGCCAAGCAAATCACAGCAGGCCTTCACAGTGGATAATCCGCCTGGTCAGGTATTCTGGTGTATATCAAAACATCATTCCAGTGGAAAATAAAAATATATTTAACAAGCGTTAACAAATAACCTAAATCTCTAACACCTTTAAAAGTTTATATTTTAGTTATTTTTTCATGTATATGGAAGGTTTGAATCATTCTTCTTTCCTCCTATTGATTCACAAGAGTTTCAAGTTACTTTATTTACACCAAGTGATAAGTGACCTTAAAAAATACTCAAGTGTGTAAGGCTAAAGCACACAGTGTTCTTTAGGTTTATTGTTTGCTGCCTTTGTAATCTCATACTAATCTTTCTATACTTGAGCTCATCAGCTATTATTAAATGTAAAAAAATCCACTTAGGCAGACTGACTTGAATTTAGTCCTGCATTCTTTTCATACTTGTACTGGTCTCCTGAAATAGAGATTGAGAGTTAAAACTTCAGAATTTAAAAAAGAGGAGCTTTTCAAATCAAAATATCATCAGTTTAAGGACCTCCTTTTAGATCGAAGTCAAATTATGGAAAGCTGCTGAATGAGACTCATTCAGCAAACATTTGAATTAAGAGCATTGTACTTTGTGTATCATATTAACTATTTGTGTGATGGCTTAGCTGTGTTCTTCTGATTTGGACTTCTTACAACTTTTATACTTTGCGGTAAATGGTAAACTTGAAATATATGGTTTTCCAGTTTATCTGACCTGCTGGCTACATCACGTGGGTCTGGATGCAGACTTTTGTGAAATGGAGGAGGCCAGGACCCTTCCACCTTGTCATCAGCAGCCTTTAGGGGTTCATATTGGTTACAGTCCTCAGGTCTGAAGACTTAATTTCAGGCTGTTGTGTCAGTTGAGAAATCCTTCATTCTCCAGAAGTTCAGATGTAGTGTTTATTTATTATGTGGAAAAGCTTTATAGACTGTAGAGAACCCATGAAAGTAAAAGTTGATTTTAGTAAGAACAGTATAATGTTCATTTAAGTAGGCTCTTGCTGAGAGTCTGGATGCAAATGCATAGCTTCTAATTCTAATCCGTAGAGGCAAAACGCATTCTCCATCACCATTTTCTTTCCACTATCTAGCTCAGATCTTTTGTCCACATTATCCCATTTCATTCAGAATGGATTGGAGAAATGGAGGTACTCAGACATTGAGTCTGTAGGGTAAACATTTGACTTACCAGTTAACTCTCTCTGCTTATAGTATTTTAAGTTATTATTTGCATATTCTTTTTTTAAATTTAATTTTATTATTATTTTCAAGTATATATAGTACATCGGTTAGACATTTATATAGTTTATGAAACGATCCCCCCGATTACTCTTTCTTCCCTCTGGCTCTCAACTTAGCCATTACATTAATGCTGACTGAATTCCCTATGCCGTACTCCCCATTCCGGTGACCATCTATCAACTACTAATTTATACTTCTTTAACCTTTCACCCCTTTCTCTCAGTCCCTCAATCCTCCTCCCCTCTGGCCATCACCGGATTGTCTTCTATATTTGTGAGGCTGGTTTTGATTAGTTTGTTCTTTTTGTTTCTTAGATTCCATAGATAAGTGAAATTATATGGTATTTATCTTTCTCTGTCTGACTTATTTCATTCAGCATAATAACCTCTGGGTCCATCCATGTTGTTGCGAATGGTAGTATTTCATTTTTTTCAATGGTCGAATAAGTAAATTATGCTGCCATGAACATAGGGGTGCATAGATCTTTACGAATTATTGTTTTGGTTTTCTTTGGATAAATCTCCAGAAGTACAATTGCTGGGTCAAAAGGTATAGCCATTTTTAATTTTTTGAGAAACCTCTAGATTGTGTTCCGTAGTGGCTATACCAATTTCCAATCCCGCCAACAGTATATGAGAGTTCCCTTTTCTCCGCATCCTCATCAACACTTGTTCTTTGATTTATTGATAATCATTTTGACAGGTGTGACATGATATCTCATTATGGTTTTAATTTGCGTTTTTCTGAATTAGTGACCTTGAGCATCTTTTCATTTCATATGTCTGTTGGCCATCTGTATTTCCTTCTTGGAGAAATATCTGTTCAGGTCTTCTGCTCATTTTTTAATTGAATTTTTTTTTTGTTGTAGAGTTGTATGAATTCTTTATATATTTTGGGTATTAACCCCGTATCAGATGTATCATAAGTGAATATTTTCTCCCATTCAGTTGGTTGTGTTTTTTTGTTGATAGTTTCCTTTACTGTGCAAAAACCTTTTAGTTTGATGTAGTCCTTTTTGTTTATTTTTTCTTTTGTTTCCCTTGCCCGAGGAGATAAGTCTGAAAATAAATTACTAGTAGCAATATCAGAGAGATTACTGCCTATGTTTTCTTCTAGAAGTTTTATGGTTTCAGGTCTTACATTTAAGTCTTTAATCTATTTTGAGTCTATTCTTGTATACGGTGGTCCAGCTTCTTTTTTTTGCATGTATCTGTCCAATTGTCCCAATACCATTTATTGAAGAGACTGTCTTTACCCCATTTAAATTATTTTTATTTTTTGTTTTGTTCCATCATACGTTTAAGTCTTGAAACACTGATGAGAAGGTATTTCCTGTATATTCATAAAACATTCAGGAAGAAACTTTGATCTTTAATTATGATTTTTTAAAAATTAGATACTCAGATGCTTCTTTCACACCTATTTTATATACATACTAAACATAAATACAAAACAGAATCAAAACTTTTTTTAAACATTTGATTAATATGGCACTTTAAATGTTAGTTGGATGAATTAGGTATAATATTCCCACTCCTTGAGGGTGGGAATTATCCTTTACCAATTTTGTATCCCTTCTTCCCCACACCTAGTGGAGTACTTCCTATATGACGGGTACTCCAGAGTGTGTGTGTGTGTGTGTGTGTGTGTGTGTGTGTGTGTGTGTGTGTGATGATAAGTCATTGACATCATTCTTAAAGTTATATATATTTATATACAGATATTTGTTAAAATTTCCTTTGAATTTTTTACTAAATAGCTCAAAAATTGGGGAATAAACTTACCGCAGAACCCTAACCTGTTGTTTTCCTTGGCTTATTTATGCAATCCATTTTTCTGCTGTCAAGCGATCTGTCATTCCTTTGATCTCAAAATACATTTAATAATAATATCTAATACTTATATAGTACTTACTATGAGTCAGGTAATGTTCTAAGTGCTTCATGTATATTATTAACTTGTCTAATCCTTATGGCAATCCTTCTAGGTAAAGGCTGTCATCCCCATTTGCAGGTAAAGAAACTAAGGCAGGGGTTAAGTAACTATCAAGGTCACATAGCTAGTAAGTGCATTAATTATAGTATCAAAAGGTAAAACAACTAGATGTCTATAAGTTGAGAGGGATGAAGGAAGCTGAGAAGGTATATGGTCAGTGTTTGAATGCACACAGTATGCACATTACTGTATAGTAAGTGAGAACTTGTAAGCAATATAGATTTTTCTGCTGAAACATTATAAAAGTTGATTGTGTAAAAAAATATCTGACTGTGTTTGACAGTCTTTGCCTCATTTATATTGCTCCTCTAGTTTCATTATTCAAATGAAGATATCACGTAAATAGACATATTTTGGGGGTTGTTTTTTATATTGTTATTTTCATTTAAGAAATATTATTCTGTTTGTGTGCAAGAATTAACTGAATATTTTCTTTCATTTCTTAACAGTACAGTGCTGTGGATACCAATCCACTCTCTCTGTATATCATGCACCCATTCTGGAACACTGTAGTAAAGGTAAGATGATTACTAGGCATGCACTTAGGTTTAGCAAGTTTTAAATATTTTAAACTATCTTATGGAGTGTTACAGATACACCTGTCAACTTAATAAGATATCTAGAGAAACTACCTCTCTCATCCTTCTTTCCCTTAGTCATAAACCTTTTGATTTATCTTATTGTTGAAATGTAAGTTTATACTCCGGAATTTGTAATTTAAAAAAATGACATTAAAAAAAATGACATTTAAAGTTTTCTGAAATAAATCTAATGTTATGATTACAAAAGTTTGTTGACTATAGAATTATTTAAGGCAGAGAGAATAGAAAGAGAAGTGCTTATTACTACCAAATGGAGATTTTGGTTTACGTTTTAATATAAATAACTCCTGTATAGGATCTTTCAAATTATAGCTTTTAGTATAACTTAAATTTGTATGTTGTGTATAGCGGGCAGAGAGAGTCCTCTACTTTAATTATTTTGTAATTATTTTGAAAAATAGGTATTTCCTACTTGGCTGGCTCCAAATCTAATAACATTTTCTGGCTTTCTACTGGTTGTATTCAATTTTTTACTTATGGCATACTTTGATCCTGACTTTTATGCTTCAGGTAAGATTATTACTTTTAATATAAAATTTAAAATGTCTAAATAGAGAAAATAAGATATGGTTACTTTCTGGTTTTATTAAGATGCTTGTATTTCTGAACAGTTTTGGATATTATAAGAGTTTTTAAAATGTCAGAATTGGATATAAAAGCTAAAATGTGTTTTCACAATCTGTTATGTATATTTCCATTAAGTTCCAGAAACCAACCTGACTACTGCATTTGGATATGCTATCTAAAAAGCATAAGGTTTTGGTATATAAAGAATAATTGAATTTCTAAGAAGATGGAGAGTTAGGACCGCAAAACTGCTTGAGAAATGAATATAAGCAGAGCTCAACCGACCTGTTATTTCCAGACATATCCCTTCCCTTTTTCTATTGATGGAAGAAAACTTCTCCATGTTTTAAAGGGAATGTGATGTTCACTCAGCATCCTTTCTTGCTTCTCTCAGTTTCCTCTAAAAATGGTTCTTAGACCTTAAATATTTATTGACAGATTCTGAATCCTTATTGGGGAAAAGAGGAAAGAAGCACTTTTGGAGGCAGTTTTTAACCTGTTCCTGCCTAGGACTCTAAAGTCTTCTTTCACACCTATTCCTGCCTTCACTTTTCTCCTGCACCCAGCTTCTGCCGCAGACAGTAGGAGCAAATCTGGACTGTTTGGGGATGGGGGTGGATAGCGGTAGGTAGGGTTTATTTTTATCACTCATCCAGTTGATGGAATTGAGAGGAATAGAAAGATGGAGGTAGATTAGTATTTTTTGTATTCTGAGTTAGAGAACATATTTTCCAGTATGACTACTTAGAAATGATGTAGTTAGGAGTTTTAGTATTATAATTCGTCTGTGTTC